ACCAACCCAACTTAGCTCCGGGTTCGTGGTGGGGCCGGCTGTATTCCACATATGCTTTGCGGGCCAGTTCACCAGTTGCCCCTCCGGTCGCGTCGCTCCGGGCCACCCTCGACCGGGACATGACGGCTCATCGGCCTCAACGGCGCTTCAAGGCGAGTCCGTCCAACTTGCAAAAAGGTGTGACATACGTCCAGACGATCTAGCCCAAGTCAGCTTGATGCTGACCCAACAACAGAGCCTTAGACACACACACACACACACACATACACACTCCTCTGTTTGCCTGTATCCTCCACTAGGCTTAGTTTGCTTTTTGTCTTCTTGTTGCCATGCCGTCGAAGAACCTGGCTTTGTCTCCTTAATCGCATGCTTATCTGTAATTAGTTGTGGTGCCCACTTGTGATCGCCTCCATTCTCTCCTCTTCTCCTCCCTTCCCTTCGCCTCTCTTCTTCCCTCGCCTCGATCACTCCGCCTCTACTCAACCCTAGGGAGGAGTGCCCTCTGCGCACCAGCGAGTACTCACTCAACAACGGCAGCATGCATGTGGAGAGCGAGGACGAGGGCGAACTGGAAAACTATTCCGGTGAGTCGTTCCTCCTTCCCTTTCCCGCCCCGCTTCTGTCCCTTCGCCAACCCTCCGGCCCAGCTCACTCCGGCCGCCAACCGGAGTCTGCAGTTTTTCTGCTCTTTTACACATCCCTTTTGCAGACTGCCTACGCACCTTCGGGGATAACGCCTATCCTCCTCTCGGACTAAATCGCCCTCCTTCCACCCCATTACATAAACGCTGGACGACATAGCAACGCAACACTTACATCTGGCAGTCTTGGCAACAACTTGTATCAGAGGGTGGGCGGTCTTTTATCAGACCAGTGCCAAGCTGACCTTGGCTACATCACTTGTCGGTTAGACAAGTGGAGTATATCTGCAAACTGGTGCTCTATCCTACCTACTCAACTCTTTATTGCATAACTCCACCCTCTGGCGAGTTGATCCGCTTAGCTACCTGGAAATCTACAACTTTAGCAACCTATCAATCAACCTACCATTTTTCGCTCTACACGCATCTACTTATTTATCCCATTATTCACATTTTTCTATCTATTTAACCTGCTTTTAAGGTTTATTTTTACATATTTTGCCTAAGCTTATCATCCGATCATCTGTTCAACTATTCACCTGCTGAGTTGAGTCGAGAACGAGCTAAAGGTAAACAACGGTTGCGAGGGTTGCGAACTAATTGGCTTTGCTCCTTATTAGTCTAGCCGTGGTTTATGGGGCAAATGGCTTTCGAGCTCCACAACGCCTCTTAGGGTATAGCTCTTTTCTGCTCTTATCGCAAGAAGAGCATTAACTGGTATGGCCATTGGTTTATTTTCACTTACCGACAGGCAATTTTCCGGTTGTAAATTTAAAGAAAAAAAACATTAGAAAAGTAGAAGTTGTTTGACCTTGTTTTCGCAACTCGGTCATGTTGGTAGGAAGACTTAAAGAAACGCACCT